TATCAGAAATATGGCAAGCAGTTGGTGAAAGATGCTCATGGGAGTAGGGGTGGCAGTCTCCTGTCCACAGATCCTCTTTTCCAAATGGTGCCAATATCCCTCCCAAGACTGGGGATCCAAGATTAGAGTTATCCATGAAATGTCTAAAAGAACTCTTAGCAGTGAAGGTTTCCATGTTACGTCAATCCTTAGCATTGGGGTATTAGTTATTTAAAATACAGAATTGCCATCTCTTTTATTCACCTTTCTGTTACCTTTGGAACAAAAGTGCCTGAAACATATTGGTTCCCAACATCATAATGATGGAAGTTAACCAGAGGAATATTTTGAAGAATTCACCTGTGAATGACTTCAGTTCTAAAAAAATTACCAAAATTTGCCTAAAGTGGGATTTTAAGGTACATCTAAGGTTGTGCTCAAGAAATTATCAGTGAAGACAAAATATCTATCATCCATCTATCATCTATCGTCTGTCGTCTGTCGTCTATCATCTATCATCTATCAATCATCTATCTAATCTAATCTATCTATCTACTTTGGATCATGCATATCATTATACTGAAATGATCACATACAAGTTAGTTTATCAAGGTTCCATATTTATTTGCAACTTTCACTACTGGCAGTTACAAAACAATGCACCATTATTATTATTTTTGGAAACTAAGGTTAGAGGACGTCACATGCCTATCGGGAATATTTAGCATCATATGGTAAAACAGAAATCACATGTCTCTCAGCTTATCACACACCGTGTAACATTTTATTTTAAAGAAAGTTCAGTTGTCTTGATACACCATTTATTAACAGTGTGTCTCAGTTAATCTCAGTTCTTGTTAAAGGTCCGAACTTTATAATGTTATCTAATTAATAACTTACTTATTGCTCTTTTCACTTCTTTGTTCCGTAGGCTATAAATGATAGGGTTAAGCGTTGGAGTTATGATATTGTAGAGAACCCCAACAAGCTGGTCCTTTTCCAGTGAGTAGCTGGAGGTAGGTCGAAAATATGTGAATATCCCAGAGCAGTAGAACAGAATCACAACCGTGACATGAGATACGCAGGTGGAAATGGCCTTGTGACGATGTCCTTTTTGCCGATTGTTGAAAACAGCATGAAGAATCAACGAGTAGGAGATCAGAGTAAAGAAAAAAGGGCTAAAACCTACAAATACACCCACTGTGAAAAGTGCCACTTCATTAATTGATGTGTCGGAGCATGAAATGCTCAGCAATGGAGGAATGTCACAGTAAAAATGACTGATCACATTAGATCTGCAGAAAGACAGTCGGAATGTGAGTGCTGTATGGAGAGTAGCATTGAAGAAGCCACAAGCCCAGGATACTGCAGTCAGCTGGAGACAGGTCCATTTAGTCATGAATCTTGCATAGACCAATGGGTGACATATAGCAAAGTACCGATCCAAAGCCATGGAGGCAAGAAGAAATCCCTCAGCACCCGCCAATGAGATAAGAAAATACATTTGTGCTGCACAATCCAGTAAGGAAATGTGTGGAGATTGGACCCAAAGATCTATGAGCATTTTAGGGAGAGTCACGGAGATGTAACAGATATCTAGGAAGGAGAGATTGCCAAGAAAGAAATACATAGGTGTGTGGAGGGACTGATTTAATAGACACACAGTGATGATGACTGAGTTGCCCAAGAAGCACATAATATACATTGTGAGGAAGAGGATGGTGAGCAAGGACTTCCCTCTTTTAATAGTTACAAATCCCAGAAGTACAAATTCTGTTATTGATGTTTGGTTGTTAAAGAAGGATGATGTGCCCATGGTGTCTTATCTGAATATTACAGTTAGGAGAGTGCTATTTTAGAAAATTCAGTACTATTCAGCATTATCAGTGAAAGCTTTCCAGGCATAATGCAACTATATAGACTGTATCACCTTCATGGCTTTCCGTATGCAACAAATTCCACTGTGGTTGTACCTGAAAAGCAAATTGTTACACTCACTGTCCATGAGCAAATATCACATGTATGAAGGTTAACAGGATTTGCTACCCCCTCCCCTTATATACTTAGGTCAGTTTGATCTTTTTAGGACTCAAACTCCGGCCCTCAGTTTCATATACCAACCATCATCAGTTCTTCTTTACATTTGTTAAGCTCAGTCTTAATGACCTTGCAGCTGAGCTTTCCATGCAACTTCTGGTTGCTGCCAAAACTGTGTTAACCACATATTGGAAAGCTCCTACATTACCACCCATTGGAGGATGGCTTATTAAATAATTAAATAAATAAATGCATAAATGTTGGGATAGATAAGCTGATGTTGTAGATAAAATTGCATTATTACCTGAGGAAAAAATAAACCAGTTCCTCCAGTTTCAGGATGTGTGTTTTCGTATGGGAGAATCAAACCATTTTATAACACACTAGAATTTACACACAAAAATTGTCCCATTACATATAATTTGTTTGTGTAAATATGATAATAGAGTAGGAAAATATTGACCAGTCAAGCCCATAGCATGGCTTCCTGGCAGGAAGTGTGCATTCTGTGATATTCAGACCACAGGCACCGTCTCAAGTGAAGATCTCGGGAGTTTCAAAAGAATTTATATTTTGATGCCTCTGACCACATCATGGACACTTCCACAAAGAAAAAAATAGCAAGAGGTTTAATGAGAGGGCACACTATTTGTGTGCTCTTAGAAATAACATGTAACAACTATCCCTATCATTCCTCCCTATGCAACATACTTCTTTCATTTTCTATTAATACGAAGCACAAACACTCAGTTCTTGTTCTTCCATACTCCAAAGAGCAAATGGTTCCCTTAGATTCAGAGGATGTCAAACATACCCAACTTACACAAAAACGCTTTCTGGCCACCAAAGTAGTACTATTTCTTATTTTAAAGCAGCACACTGTGATGTAGCAAAGAAGCATGTTTTTATTTATATTCTTGTTTAAGGGAAGCTCATGGGAATGCCCCATTAATGAATCCATGGAGGTTTAGAACTATGGCAAAATATGTTGTAAGTCTGTGGATGAAAGCAAACTACACAAGCTTTGAGAAATGACAGCAAATCCTAACTACTTTCAAAAGTGTTGCCACCACTGTTAACCATTTGAAACAGAAGTCGGATTGCCTTTCATTGCAGGCCAAGCTGATATTGTAATACACATTCTACTGTGTATCCATTCCACCCTTTCCCAGTTAGCAACCTAGAAATACTGTACATGTAGCTACTTGATAAGCTGGTCATATCTATGTTTTGAAAGGTGAGAAAGAGAAATTTACTATAATTAAATATACTATACTATATTGATGCAGCTGGGAATGGCAAAATGATTATTATCTCTTGGCAGGATGAAGTGGTTGTCTCATTTACCAATGTACCAATCAGGTTTCTTCCTGCAAGTCATGGACAGAAGAGCAGGGATATATGTGCTTTCTGTGTCCCAACACCCCTGTGCCATAAACCCGGAATGATCAGGGTTCCTGTTCAGACATGACATGATTTGCCACTAAAGGAGCAATCATATGGCATGTTCCACCAAGATGAGCAGCTTAGGATGCAGTGGATCTCTGACTCAGCTGGGCTAAGTAGGCACTTCATCTCCAACCCTGGCTCAGCTGATGCTATGCCAATGTAACTGGCTTTCTGCAGCTCAGCCAGGGCTCTGCTGAAGCTGGCTGAGTCAAGGCTAGTGTAAGTCTCAAAAGGGGGCATTAGAAGGCGTGTGGAAGAGGCAGGACTAGAAAGGGTGGGCGGACTTAGGCTGGATTCTAAACCCATTCAGCTCAATAATATGACTTGGCAACCTGGCATAAAGCACAAATTTAAAGGCTTGTTTTCCCTCTGCCAGGCTTACACAGAGCAGCAACCCCCCTGCTGAATTTGGTGTAACTTTAAACCAGCTTAACTTTTATACTGGCTTGCTTCACTCCACCTTCTTGTGCAAAGGATTGCCCCTGTGGTTGAGGGTAGAGTTAGAGTGTTAGTGGAGTGAGGCTAGCTATCTCTGTGTGTAAAGATTGTGTGGAGACAAATGTCTGAGCAGGATTTAAAAGGTCATATGCATGTTGCAATAAATTACCACTTGGAAAGTGGTTGCCTTTCAAATTTATATTTGCCTGTTCAAATAACAATAACAATAACAATAATAAATTACTTATACCCCACCCATCTGGCCAGGTCTCCCCAGCCACTCTTGGCAGCTCCCAATAGAATATTAAAAACATGATAAAACATCAAACATTGAAAACTTCCCAAAACAGGGCTACCTTCAGATGTCTTCTAAAAGTCATGGTGAATAGCTTTATAGTGAAGGATTTACATTCAGCTTTATCTTTTCTTTTGCTCAATAACATTGGCTGAGAGTCTCTATGCCAATAATTTATTGAGTTTTTAAAAGCAATGCAGTTCATGTATATAATGAATGCTGATATCTTAATCTTCATTTCTTAGAAATCCCGACAGATTTATTTCTTGGTAATTGTACATATCACAAAGCATTAAAAGATAAGCATGTATTAAAAGATACACATGCAGCTTACTTCTGAGTATACATACAGTGGTACCTTGGGTTAAGTACTTAATTCGTTCCAGAGGTCTGTTCTTAACCTGAAACTGTTCTTAACCTGAAGCACCACTTTAGCTAATGGGGCCTCCTGCTGCTGCCACACCGCCGGAGCATGATTTCTGTTCTCATCCTGAAGCAAAGTTCTTAACCTGAAGCATGATTTCTGGGTTAGCGGAGTCTGTAACCTGAAGCGTATGTAACCCGAGGTACCACTGTACATGGAAGTGCACTGCAAGTTTTGTTAGTAGTTCTGATATTGTAAGTTGCTCTGAGTTGCTTTTGCAAAAAAGTGACCATAAGTTTAAATGATGATGATTGCTAATAAATGTGTCCGTACAGTATCTAAGTAGGTATTATAAGTGGTGCATTATAAAATTTATACATTGTTTCTGTTTGTTCCTCTGTTAAAGCTCAGCTCAGCTTTTTCCAGAAGAGTAACTTATCAATTCAGTCCTTCCTGTTTCTTACAGAGAACTTTTTTAAGGGCCTCTTTCACCTCCTTGTTCCTGAGGCTATATATGATGGGATTCAAGAGTGGAGTGACCAGGCAGTAGAAGACAGCCACCAACTGGTCCATATTGAAGGAGAGGTTTCGGGTGGGCCTGACATAAATGAACATCATTGTTCCATAATAGATACCAACCACTGTCAAATGGGAAGCAAAGGTGGAGAAGGCCTTTTTCCGCCCATCGGAAGAACGAATTCCCAGAACAGTGATCAAGATGGCAGCATAAGAAGCCACAGTTATTGTGAATGACCCAACAAGGAGAAAGGAGCAGATGAAGAAACTCAGCATCTCGTTGAGCTGGGTCCTGTTGCAAACCAGCCTCAGCAGTGGCAAAATGTCACAGAAGAAATGGTCCACTACATTGCTCCCACAATAGTTGAGCTGAGATATGAGAATTGTTGGGATCAATGGCAGAACCAAGCCAGTGACCCAAGACCAAGTAGCAAGCTGATGATAGACAACACTATTCATAATGGTGTTGTATCTTAAAGGAGAACGTACAGCCACATATCTATCATATGCCATGGCAGCCAAAAGGAGGCACTCAATGCCACCAAGAGCATGGAAAAAATATATTTGGGTAAGGCAGTTCTTGAAGGATACAACATTCTTTTTTCTAATGAGATCAACCAATATTGTTGGGGCTGTGACGGAGGTAAAACAGATCTCCAGCAAGGAAAAATTGCCCAGGAAGAAGTACATGGGAGTGTTAAGAGAATTTTCATACCTGGCGATGAATACTATAACCATGTTTCCTATCACTGTTAGTGTGTACATAATTAGTACTAGCGTAAATATTGGAAATCTGCTCTTTTCCAGGTTGGGAAATCCTGTGATAAGAAATTCACTCACTGTTGTATGATTTGAGAGATCCATCTTATGATTGGTTGTTCTTTTGTGGAAACAAAAAAAGAACAGTTGTTTGCCCTAAAGTGAAAGCATTCTGTGTACTTCTTATGATATATCAGTTGAAGAGGTTTAACCCAGAAAAGGTTTCAGATGAATTTTTTCAAGGACAGAACGTCAATCAAAGCGAAGAAATCTATGATTGAAAGAAAGAAAAGAATTCTATGATCATTAACCTTCACAGCAGTCAAAGGAAATAACATTGCCAGTGTGCTTAAGAAATGTTGTAGTCTTGAGTGGTGGAAGGGGGAAAGGAGTTTCTTTGCATTTATATCTATTGATAATATAAGGTCATTATTTGGAGAGTAGACTTGGGGACTTGGAAATGCCACTAAACTTACAGCGTGCATTACTCTGCTCATGTAGAGTAATGCATGCTATCACTGTACCTCCTCCATTGATTCCAGTGGAACTTGTTAATTGCACACAATTGCTGCCTAGTGCTGTTACTCTATGAATGCTTGGTTAAGAGGAAATTGAGCACCACACTCCAGATGAGCCATCCAGACCATGAGGATTTGTCAGACGTGGGATATGAACCTATGCTTCCATTCAGAGACCAGAAAATATAAAACAGTAAAATCAAGGGGGGAAATCACAGCCACACTTTAAAACATACAAATGTTAAAATACTAAAACAGTTCAAAATTACCTCAGCTTTCTAAATACCTGGGCAGACTCGTCTAAAGAATAATGGTTTTTTGCAGGTGTTAAAACATGTGTGTGTTTGCATTTAAAGTGGGAGCGAATATTTAGACTGCTCAACTATAAATTTAAGCCAACCTGACCTGATTTCTGCCTGAAGAATAATCCAGTGGTTTCACACATACCCCACACTTCTCAGCTGAATGTTTCTTCCAGTATTAAGAATAGCAAATATAATCCTTCTGGAGTTCTACATTCCTCTCAACTCTCAACATTCCTCCTCATAACAGTTTATGTGCTATTACATATATAATCTCCAATTTTTCTTTGAAAAATTTACTAAGTTTAAGAAAGAACAAAAAAGCATTTCTTTCTCACATATCCTGGCAATGTGACATTTTTGTCGGTAGAATTAAAATCAATAAATTATATACACATCGAACTATTTCATTAAAGAAAAACCCTGAAAAGAAAAGTACATATTTTAAAACATTTTGTCCATTTTCATTTTGTGATCTGGCTATACTCACAAATGATGCAGATCAGGCACTTGAAAATAGTTGTTCCCATCATGACTACCATGAGGACTGGCCAGGTGTTGGGACAAGACGATGTGAAAAGAAGACCTAAAGATAAATTATATTATCTTTTCATGGGGAGATTTGCATGTGTACTTTATACATTGAACCTATTTCATCAGCATACCTGTATTCAAACTCATGGGGACCTGATCTCCAAGGGATAAACCCTAGAGCTTAAAGTTAGGCAGCCTTATCAGTGAGACTCTGCAAACTGTGCTGATGAAAGTGGTGGAAAATATTTCACCATCTTTAATTGATCTGAGAAACCCCCCAGCAGCTAAATGAGAGTGTGATTAATGAGAAAAGGACAGACCACTATTTAATAGGAGTTGATTCAAGCTACGTGTTAGGATGTGTTCCTTAATGTTAGGAAGTGCTATAACCTATTAACAATGCACTGCAGAACATCATGAACTGCCACAATCATGTGTATGATATAAAATACAAGAAAAGTGAAACTCATTTGTATGCATATACACTCATTTTTAATTCCCCCCCCTTCTAAATGTCATGGGAAAGGTTATGCAAATAAGGTGCATGTACATACAAAGGTGGACAAACTTCAGAATATTTCTCTCTTCTGCAGAGCTTAGCCTACTAATGAACTAATCCCAGAGTAGAGCCTCTGTGGAACGCAAATACCACAGAGAATTGAGATACATAATGAAACCTGTTATATTTACCATAGCCCTTTTTGCCTCATAGAATGAGATTCAGTAATTTTTTGCAACATTCCTCTGAAAAATCATCTTCGATATTCATTAAGGCAAGAAACTAATCCTTAGACTAGAGAGATATCGTGATTGCCTAGCCAGGCTGATCAAAGCGCGGTTTCGAATGCCTCTTACGGTACTTCCATGAGTTCGAAACACTGAAAGATAAAAGTAACGAGTGCAGTGAGCTTTCTCACAGATTTTCTTCCAAATGTAAAGAATGGGGCATAAGTCTAATGGCTAAAGGGTACCAATGGAATAGATGCCTGGTGGTTTAGATATTTCAGGGAGCTCGAAAGTTGCAAGGAGATGTCCTTCCCTGTGATTACATCTAAGTACAATGGAAAGGCCTGGTGTTTAGTTATGGGCTCGCAATTTGCAAGGATATGTCCTTGCCCTGTGATTTTTGGGAAATTTTCTTTATTCTTGTTTAGTAGAAGGAGAGTGTTAGATTAGTAGTATTGACTGATAGATGTTACCCCCCCCCCAGGAACTTTTGAATGGATTTTAAATACTGAAACAAATGAACAAAATATTGCAAAATGCATAGTATATAAAATGCTATATATCAAGAGCACCACCCTTCAGGCAGTGTGTGTTTGGGTCCTTCTCACTCTTGGTTTTTTATTCATTTTTTATTTTCCATACAATTTGGAAGAATAAAAAATGGAGCACGGCTTTTGTGTGTGTGTGTGATATGTGTTTTGTTAAAATGTGTATATTTTAAAGCTAGCATTTTTAGTACAGCTGCACCAGTGGTTTACTGGCCATGACAGAGAGGAATGAAACTCAGAAGATCAGTTCTACTCCTTCTTCTTCCTCCTCCATTTTAAGATCAGGTCAGTATCATGCAATAAATCCCTGAATATCATTATGGTACACTCATATGTTAATACTGGGAGATGAGAATCTCCTTTCCTTTAAATAAAGGTAAAGGGACCCCTGACCATTAGGTCCAGTCATGACAGACTCTGGGTTAGCGGTGCTCATCTCGCTTTATTGGCGGGGGGAGCCACATACAGCTTCCAGGTCCATGTGGCCAGCATGACTAAGCCACTTCTGGCGAACCAGAGCACTACACAGAAACACCATTTACCTTCCTGCTGGAGCAGTACCTATTTATCTACTTGCACTTTGACGTGCTTTGATGTGCAGGAGCAGGGACCAAGCAACGGGAGCTCACTCCGTCATGGGGATTCGAACCACCGTCCTTCTGATCAGCAAGTCCTAGGCTCTGTGGTTTAACCCACAGCACCACCCGCGTCTTCCTTTAAATGCTTTGACTCAATTCATTGAAGTCCTTGTGTCAAAGATGGATGGTCAACTATATTGTTGATGTAACACATGAAAAAGTGCCATAGTACTGATTAATGTTTTCATGCAGATCTATTTCTGTGATTTCTCACCACCAGCTCTTTTTATCTACTTACATAGGTGTAAACCCAACTGAACTTAATGTGACTTACTTCTGAGCATGCATGTATAGGATCACACCATAAGACAGAAAATATTGCACATGTGGAGTCTGTCTGCAGGGAGGTGGACAAATCGCAGAACCTACTAATTAACTAATCCCAGAGTAGGTCCTCTGTGGAATAAAATTCCCAGAGAGAATTGAGGTGCATGATGAAAAATGTTATATTTACTATGTTCTTTTTTTATTTAGTGGAGATAGTTCTTCATGACGTTCTCTTAAACATCACCTCCAATTATCTATATTCATAAAGGAAGAACTGCTCTGAGTCACCTGAGCTATCTGATTGACTTCCAGATATGATCAGCATAGTCTCATCTCCTTAGTAGCCTCTTCCACTTCAGCTCTTAAAGAAAGGAAACAGTGAGGTTTCAGCCTTCTTCAAAATTAAAAAAGGTAAGTTGCATATTAATAAAGTAGTTCCTAAAATGCTGCTACTGTAGTTGTGTCCCTGAATCATTGGCCATCACTTCTAAGTGGAATTTGTAACTTCCAAAGGGAACTTCAACAGTAGAGCTAAATTGAAAAAATCACAAATGGTCATTTAATGAGCATGGGTCATTAATCCATGAGAATATCCTATCACCTATTGAAATAAACTGAAAACCCTGAACATAATAAGCAGTGAACCAAATGGAAAGTATACATTAGGATACTGTAATAAACAAATCTGTGAGACATAAAACCTTGTGCTCAAATCCTGTCTCAATCTTGAACATACTGCAAAGTTTTTGGGAAGCAATTACCATTCAGGTTCACCTCCCATCTGAAATTTCAGAGTACTTACAACATCGTAAATTCCACCTTGAAGAAGCATGTGGCAAAACTTTGTAAACGGTAAGCATCAGAAATGATAAATACGGTATATTTCCACATTTTTAACTCTACTCAGTGACTGTTAGCATCACTTTCTCTGTCTCCCTTTTTCTCTTCTCTTCAGATAACATCACATAAATGTGCTTAGATGCACATCAGGTGTGTTTAGCATCAAAAATTCTCTTATTTTTTTTCATAACGATCATTATTCTATGTCAGATGATTCTTTGATATACGTATCTTTTTCTTTCCTGCTTCATAGATCCAAAAGTATGTCAGTATGCTGACTGGCAATCAAACTGCAGTAACCCATTTTATCATCTTGGGCTTCCCAAGTCTGAAGAATCTTCAGCTTCTTCTCTTCTTTATGGGATTGGTTGTCTACATCTTGACCTTGTGTGGACACCTCATCATTATCACCATAGTACGTATTGACCAACATCTCCAAACACCCATGTACTTTTTCCTCAGCAATTTCTCCTTCCTGGAGATATGGTACACCTCCAACATTGTTCCAAAGATGCTAGAAGTATTCCTAGATAAGAACAAATCCATTACATATGCAGGCTGCATTACTCAACTCTACTTTCTTATTACACTTGGTACCGCAGAATGTTTCATTCTGGCTATCATGGCATTTGATCGCTATTTAGCCATATGCAATCCTCTTCGATATCCTACACTCATGAATGACAAAGTTTGCCTTAAGCTAGCTGTAAGCTCTTGGATTGGTGCCTTCAT